TCCGCAGGTCGGCCGGGGCTGGGGACCCGCCGGAGCTGCCGTGCCGGACCCCCAGGCCGAGCAGAGGGCCCGGCCGCCCCTCCAGCCTGCCCGGGGTTGACTCAATGGGGTCTGGCCATTGGCTAATTTTTGAGCACCAATTGTCATGCAATAGAGGCTGCCATGGTCCACGATGCCACTTGGCCGTTGTAACTCCTGATTCCCACGTAGGACGTTTCTTTGGACCAGAGCATCCGAAGCTGGGGACTGGCAGGAGTTCAGAAGCTCGTGAATTAGCAGGTTCTTGAGCGTAGTAGTCGCCTTGGGTTCTGCCAAGCAGTGGAATCCTGAATGGGTGTTAGCGAGTCTTAGCCGAGCATTCCTCTTTTTTAACATTCTCCCCCAACTCCTTTTCATACCTGGTAATCGCTCTCTCCTTCTGTGGGAGATACCCTAAAAATTAATTCTCCTAATTAAAATTTTGAAAGGTTATTGAATTCCTGTTGTGCACCAGCATGATCAGGTTTGCAAAACTAAATAGAACGCGGTCCCGGCGCACCAGGACCTGCCAGTCCCCGAATCAAGATTAATGACGGCCTCCAGTTGATTGTGGTGGATTCAGGAGTTTGGCTGGGTCTCATGATTTCAGAGCTGGAAGTCTTTCAAGATTATCTCACCCAAACCTCACTTTACAGAGGTGGAATTGAGTCGGGGAGAAGTGAGATGACTTCCTTGAGGTCACCCAGAGTTATTCTTTAGCAGATTTCAGACTGCCTGATAATGGCTGTTTTCCACCCCGAGCCTGTACCTTCCGCGAGGTATGCTAAACATACCAGGGAAAATTCTAGACCTGTTTAATTGTGGTACTGTAGGGAGGAGTCTTATGAAATAAAATATATCTTCGTAATTTTTTCTCTTTTTACACCTAGACTTTGGGCTCCTTGAGGATATTCCATTTTGTTACTTTTGAATATCCTCTCACCATATTCAGCATAAAATAACATTCTTAATGGTTATCCTCGGCAAGACAGGTAGGCTCTTTGGATTTGTTTTTTTCCCTCCCTTTTAAATAGGGAAGTCAACTCCCATAGAGGACTCCAAGTAAAAATGTGCTTTCAGAAAGATCCATGGAGGCTGGGACCAGAGCGTGAACGCGTTGTATCTCTCAGGGCAGGAGGATTCCTTGACACATGAAGTAGGTCCAGCACTTAGCTGATTGCTCCCTGATGCTGCCGCTGTTTGAGGCTGGACATTTCAGTGGAGCCTTGAGCCAGAGTGCTTGGTGTCTCTGCCACTCGAAGATAAGTCCCCAAAGTCGTAGTCTGCGCAGTTAGAAAACAGAGATTGACAAGTTTCCTTTGAAGCTAGCTTTTGAGGAGTATTCCGGGATTTGAGATAGAATAGTATTTTTTTCTCCCACTTTTTTATTTTTGTGTGTCCTGGGCTTAAACGCCACCGTTTTTGTTTGCTTGTTTGTTTTTGGGGGGGAACATAATTAGGTTTATTTATTTATTTTTAATAGTGGTACTGGGGATTGAACCCAGGACCTTGTGCATGCTAAGCATGCACACTACCACTGAGCTATACTCTGTCCTCTGCCCCAGTGCCATCGTTTTTATTTGGCTTCCAGTGGAAGTTGTTGAAAGTGAAAATGATTCAAGAACTAATTGTATGGGCTGTCAGAGCAATCAGATCATGACATTTCACTGCTCAGAAAGACCCAGGTCAGCTAACCCAGAGCAGCCCCTGGAGAGGCAGCAGGGTGGATGGGGGAGCAGAGTCCTCCCGTCCTCAGGCCGGTGCTGTTTCCCTCACTCCGCTTGGGCTGTTCTTCATCTCCCCCCGCCCACGTCTTGCCGACCCCCTGCCCCCCGCGCTTGTATAATCAGGCATCAGCTCTTGGTATTTGTGTACATGGGGTTGTGCCCTGTTGGGGTCCATTAGACTGCAGTATGTTGTGTGGATGCAGACTTAATTTTTCCACATCATGGTTATTTATCACATATGTTTGTGTCTTGCAGGTGTGAGAGGACTGCTGTTTTATTGCAATCATGGTGCAGAAATACCAGTCACCAGTGAGGGTGTATAAACACCCCTTTGAGTTAATTATGGCTGTGAGTACTTTTCAGTTTACCCTGGGGCTTCTTGTTGTTTTAGATGTTTGAATTTGGTGATCTGTAAACTTGTGTTTGCTATATTGCTTGTCTCCCTTGCTCCACTTTTACTTCTTCTGTTTTCATGCTTATAACTTTGTTGAGTTTGTGAATTGTTTTTAAGCTATAAGTCTCTGAAAATCATACTCTGCAGGTGTGTTTTTAGGAAATGCACTTCAGGGTAATGCATGAATTGGCGTTAATTCTCCTTTTGAAAACAAAGAAGTGGGATTCTGACTACGTACTTCTTCCTCTGGATTTTGCTCTTTTCTGGGGTTTGTTTGTTCAAGTAGAAAAGGGATGTGGAGAGTGGTTTTTTCCTCTGCTGCTCATTTAGCTTATGGGTGATTTCACTATGTGGAACTGGGCACTGGGATGGAGTTTAATTTATGTGATTCTAAGGACTCTGCTGACTGAGTTTCAGGGTCCTAATAGCAAATTCATGAGTCATATTAGAATTCCACGAGTGGGCCAACTCAAGTTTGTTTTTTTTTTTAAATTGGAGTATCGTCAGTTATAATGTGTCAGTTTCTGGTGTACAGCACAGTGTCCCAGTCATCCATATACATATGTGTGTGTGTCTGTGTGTGTGTATGTGTGTGTGTGTGTGTGTATGTTTTCATATTCTTTTTCATTGAAGATATTGAATATAGTACCCTGTGCTATACAGAAGAAATTTGTTTTTTTAATCTATTTTTATATATCCAACTCAAGTTTTAATTTTGTTATTTATGTGAAGTGAAGCATTTCACCAGAGGCCAAAAAAATCCCCAAACACACCTTCTGCCAGTCCCTTTCAGATTTCTGTAGGATTTTCTTTCCCTTCCCTTCTGTCTTGTGTTACCGTGAAGGTAGAATTCAGTGTGCGCACAGGAGGATGTCTCTGTTGTGAGATGCACCCCAGTGAATGGGTCAGGCTGACCTGGGATGCGAAGCAGACAGTCCAGCCCAGTAAGAAGACCACTCAGTCCCGGTCAGGTGGCCGCCTCTCTGCCTCTGACACGGAGGCGAGTTTGTGTCTCTCCTGTGTATATGTAGAAACTCAGGGATTTTTGCATTGGACTTCTCCCTGCTTAGCATTGTTTGTGAGATTTATCCAGACCAATTTAGTTTCGGAAAACAAAACAAAACTCAAGTCCTCTCAAGGGAACAGTTTAGATTTAGGGTGTCTGTTTCTTTAAATTGAGGTGTAATTTACCCACAGCGAAGTGGGCACGTGTTAGGTTCACAGTTTGATCAGTTTTGACCAAAGAGTGACATACATCTCTGTCGAGATGCAGCACCTTTCTGTCCATTACCTCTGAAAGTTCCCTTGTGCCCCTTCTCTGGCAGCTGTGAGGTTTGGGCTTTTTCTTTGGGGGGGGGAGGTGTTTTTTAGTTCCGTATTTTCCTTAAATACTAGGACTGTTCCGTATTTTGTGTTAATAACTTATCAGAAGGGCTTGTTTCCTGTTTGTGCGTTCCGTGTGCTGGCTCGGGCTTCGGGTATGAGGGGCAGTGACCCGCTCCAGCGAGCCTGAGATGGGTACTTTTGGTGGGAACACATGCGGGGCCACAGGGTGGCCCCGAAATCCAGGAATGCTAGCTGGCTCAGGCTGAGCGCCAAGAACGTGGTGTTGGAGGGTGGTTCCCGGCAGCAGTTGTCCCTGGAACTTCCCCCGGGGACTCTGCCTCCTCCATCTGCCCAAGCCTGTCTCCCCCCACCAGCTGGCTGCTTTGCTCACTCCTACCTTTCCCTCCCCTGTGGCTTCGGCTCACTGGCCTTTTCCGCTGTCACAGCCCCTCTGGCCCCAGTTCAGCTTTGTGACATTTCTAGTTTCGTTATTTCAGTTTCTAAGTGACTGATTCTTGTCATGTTTCCTAGTTCAGATTCTAGAGAGACTTGATCTGGTCCTGCCCCCGGGCCCAGGATGTTGGTTCCTGGGCGGCCTGTGAATTATTTGCCCTGTTTGTCACCTGACCCTTTCCAGTTGGCAGGGGCTGGTGGCGAGGGGGCAGAGGTGTGGGGGTGTGGGGGCCGAGTGAGGCTGAGAGCTGCCTCGTGGGGCGGTGGGGGTGGAGGGGCAGGCACGGGTAGGGTACATTGTGTTTTCCAGAATGTTAAGGACGACTTTAAAATCTGGTACAACCCCATCACTGGAGGCAAAGTTTGGTCTCTGGGTGCAGACACTGGATTTAATAAAGAGGTATTTTGACTGTCTAATGTTCAACTTCCTTATTTTCCTTACTTTTCTATTTTCAAAAAGGTACAGTTTGCCTTGCCACTTTGATGCATGGATTTACAGAAGGATTTGAAATTGAAATTCTGAACCATCCCCCACAATCTTTAAAATTAACCAGTTTTTAACTTGCTTTCCTTTTGAGGCAGCAGTAATTTTTTTGAGTTGTTAGAAAATATTTTTAATCTGAAAATGAAATATGTGACATTTTTCCTTCCAGAATTAGATAGAAACTAGAATGTAAGGCTGTAGTGATTTTCACGTGGTGTCGTTTGCCAGTTTTCTGGCTGTAATTGTACAACATAAGTCCTCAGTATTTACCTTGCTTTCTTTTCTCTCATTGAGGACAAACAGCAGTAGAAAAGAGTTACTCTGAAAATGTCCTTTTCGATTCATTCAGGCAGAGGAAAGAGATCCCCAGTTAATGCAAGAACAGAACTATAGCTTCAACAGAAATATTTGTGAGAACCTCAAAGTGCTTGTGCTTCAGTAATCTCAGCATGTGACAGTGACACAGGCGTGTCCCTCAGATGGTCCCTTGGGTGTATTAATAGGCAGATCCAAGTCCCAGTTTACAGGGTCCCATAGGAGACTGACCATTGGAAGAAATGCTGCTCCATCCACTTTATGCCTTTGCTCGTTTTCACCAAGAGTTTCGCTGTGATTTAGAATTGCCAGAACGCTGTTGAGGAAGAAGATACCTATGTCCACAGGTACATGGTGGGTACCCAGTATGTTAATTGAAGTTTGATTGATTTAATGAAAACTTACTTGTTTTGGGGTCAGTATACTGGTAGAATCAAGTTGCGTGTGCTTATATCACAGTTTATTCATCCGTTCTACTCTTGATGGACAATTGGATTATTTCCAGTTCTTTGCTACTACAAACAGTGCTGCAGTAGACATTCTCACTGACGACTTTTGGTGTACACGTGCGGTCCACAGTCCTAGGAATGGAGCTGCTGTTTGGCAGAGAAAAAAAATCAGGTTAATGTTCTCATGAACTAATTTGGATTAAAAATGGTAAACAAGCAAAACTGAAGTGGAGGTTTTTCAACAGGCATTTGTAGCATTTTAGGGGCATTCTTTTGTTAGATATTAGTCCAGAAACAGTTGTTGGAGCGTCTGTCCCTTTAGAGGGTGAGGAATCTGAGACTCAGGGAAGGTGAAGCCTCCACAGTCAGTGGGTGTGGAGAGTTCTGTGTTCTTTCATTGTATTCTCCCCCCAACCCCCGTCATAATTTGTACCCTGGAATGTCTTTTGAGGGTTCTTGTCCTTGAAGAGGTCTGTAACTTTTTCAGGCTCAGCCAGAAACACTTCTGGGGCTACTCTGCCTGACTTGTGGGAGGAGAATTTAATCAGTGAAGGACATTCCAGTCGATCTGCCTTCAAGGATCTGTGGTCTCTCCTGGGGGCTGGTGATGGGACCACAGAGAAGAAACTTAGGTTGGGAGGTGTACTTCTGAGATGCTTGGGTCAGAGTGTTTCATTTTGAGATTTCTAAGGTAAAAACAAATTTTAAAACTTAAGCATTTTCAAGAACAGCCTTCTCCCTCCTGATGTTAGTGGCCCCTTAATAAATGATACAGAGGAAGAGTGACGGAGAGAGAGATACTGGAACGGAAGTGCGGTGCAGGAGGGCGGCGCGGCAGAGGGGGTCGGGGCGTGGACCGAGAACCGTCCAAGAGAAGAAATCATGAATCTGTCTTCAGGAGCAGAGAGATCTCTATGGGGACAGTTGCCGGGAGGCGAGGACTTGTCTCTGGTCCTTTTTCGCCTGAGGACAGCTGCCAGTTCGACTGGTTGGCACATGTGATAGGAAGGGTGCACTGCCTTCGGGTAACCCCCGAGGTGGCATCTTGTCCGGTCCCCGTTCTGCTTGGGCTTCCTATTGTCCTCATGGATTTGGTCCCATCCTTGTTCTCTCTCTCCACCCACCCACTCTCGCAGGTTCCCTGCTCTCTGGGTCGGGCCATCGTGCTCCCAGAACCCCTTTACCATCTGTGTCGCCAGCAGACGCATCTTTTAGATTTTGCCTTGGAGTCACATTCTGTCCCTTTGTCTCCCGAGCACCGCCTTCATTCCAGCCCAAGCCCTCGTCCTAGGTGGGGGGTGACCGGAGTTGTTTCCTTACTGACATGTTCATCCCTTTGGGCCATCCTGTGCTCTCCGGCCCAGACACTGTTTCACGTGTCAGTCCTTTGGTTAAGTGATCTCTTACTATCTGCCCTAACCCTCTGTTTCGGTGATCTGTTATCAGTCACATCCGATCTAAATCACTTCGCTTCTTCTTCAAGGCTTCATGCTCTGTCCTCTCTGTTGAAGCTTTATTCTTGATTATACAGACTTCCCAGCATGAACTTTTAGGCCTGTTCTGTGCTGTCGCTGTTTGTCCTCTCAGTGTCTTTTCCTGCCCACCCCCCCCTTTCTTTTGATACTTCCTTCCTCACTTTAGGTGTTTACCATCCCCCAGTGTCTGATGTTAACCTCTTGACCCACCCCACTTCCCTGTAGTGGTGCCCTTCATACTTCCCCCCGTTCCTCTGACTCCTCCTTAACACTGTAGTCAGGGATGGGCACTTTCGCTTGTAATTAGAGTTTCTTTTATTCTCAGTGGTTCCTGAGTGTTGCTCTCTGTTTTGTGTAGTCCTCAGGGGCAGAGGCTTTGCTGTTTCTCTTGTTCCCTCCAGCGTTGGTACCCAGCACGCAGTCGGCACCGGGTATGTTTGATCAGCGGGTGT